CAGAAGGGCAAGAGTAGGACCCCAGTACTCCCATCTGCCCTGTATAAACTGGTAACCTATACAAAAGTATAGTGATGACATAAATGACTGAGGATCCTGTGCAGAGCGTGCAACTTCTTTAGCAAGGTTCTCAGTGTATCAGGTAATGGAGCAAAAGGCGGCAGAGGTGCAAGGCTCTGCCCACCAGCACTCGTGTCCCTGTGCTCGGAGCATGCAGGCACCTGGCCAGCCGCGCAGAGCAGCGTGTGCTCCTCTCTGCAGGACCTGCACCGCCGCCTGGACCAGGCCCGCTACACGCCGCCGCTCGAAGGGGCTGCCTTCCACTATGGCTTCAACTCGGACTACCTGCAGAAGGTGGTCGCCTACTGGAGGAACCAGTTTGACTGGCGCAAGCAAGTGGAGATCCTGAACAAATACCCTCATTTCCAAACCACCATCGAAGGTGAGGGCATCTCTGCAGTTCACGTGGGTCCTGTAGATGAGGCACTTAGAGACGTAGTTTAGCAGGCAAGATGTGATGGGTTTACAGTAGGACTTGATGATCTTGAAAGTCATTTCCGTCCATAACAATTCTATGATTTTATGATATGCCTGGCCATATTACCTCTGTGGCCTGTCCCATTGGTGGCAAGTCGCCTTGTCCTCACAACTGCTTTTTCGCTGTCCACCTTCAAAGTCCCCGCTCGCTTTACCCCTACGAATGGTATATGTGGGACAAGGGGTTCAGACTGGGCACCGAACTGAATAGAGTGCCCTGAAACACTTGGCTCAGAAATGCAAGCCTGAGGCAAGCCAAGGTGATTTCACATGTTAGAATATTTAAGATAACACTATGCATAATAGAGCTGAGTGAGATCTCATTAGTGTAGGTTGTATTATTCATAATGTTCTATAGATTAACACTACTTGAAATAAGCAATAATACTGAGTCTGCTTCAGAACACAGTACCTTTGGCATTGAATCTGTCCTCGTGATATTTTCTTCTGCCACCACCTTGAAACCTCCCTTGAAAATTGCCAAATTTACCCAAACTCTTAGACCAGGTGCTTTCCCCTCTCCTTCAGTAGTTTAGCCAGGTAAGATTAGCCAGTCTTTAGATAAATGATTTTCAGGTAAAACTTGTATATTCTACATATTTTGCCTTTAGTCAACCATATGATTTTATCATGTGTGTGGTTTTGCATGTGTCGTACCTGGGTTATGCTATGTATTTAAGAGCAGCTCTACCTATTTCTATAAAACCACTTCCTCAGGAGAGGCATTCATGATATCTGTGACCCATATGTCTGGGACTCAGATACATATCCCTGCTCATATATGAAAGAGCAGACATGGGTACAGTAGGAGGCACAGTATCCCCTTTCAGATAGGCAGCTGTTTCTCAGTGGTTGGTGACATTTATGCTGTAAAAAAAGAGTTAGAATTTTTCCACCCTCCTTCTTCAGGGACCAGAAAAGAAACTGAGATGAAGTCAGAGCTTTCATTTATCTGTTTTGAATTCCTGTCAGGGATCGATATCCATTTTATCCACGTGAAGCCTCCCCACGTCCCTCCCGGCCAGACTGTTTATCCCCTGTTGATGGTGCACGGCTGGCCCGGCTCCTTCTATGAGTTCTACAAGATCATCCCTCTGCTCACGGAGCCGGCCCAGCACGGCCTAGGTGAGGACGACGTCGTGTTTGAGGTCATCTGCCCGTCCATCCCGGGCTATGGCTTCTCAGAGGCACCTCACCAGAAAGGTAAGTGATGAAAAGGCTCTCCTGGAATCACAAGGGTTTTGAAGTAACACCCCTGCCACCAGTGGACCCCTGAGCACAGCAGTTTGAGAACGCAGGAGGGCAGATTCTGGGTTTTCTCAAGTTCTGTGAACTCAACTCTTCACTAATACATAGAAGACAGGTGTCTTCTCTGTAGCTGTGAGATGGGAAACGGCTGGCTCCTCTCAACACTGGAGATGGAGAAGCTTATATTATCAGGATGTGCCCTTGGTGTGGGACTAAGAATCCGAGCTTATCTTGCACAAATTGCTAAACTCTGTGAAAATGAAAGACTTGTGCCCCCATTTTTTCTCTTTACCTGCAGGCTTTAACACCATAGCAGCTGCTCGGATATTTCACAAGCTGATGAAAAGGCTGGGCTTCAAGGAGTACTACCTACAGGGAGGAGACGCAGGGGCTCCGATTACTACAAACATGGCCCAGATGCTGCCACAGTGAGTAGCAACTGCAGTTGGACCAGAGGAGCTGCCTTCAGCTCTTATCCTGTCTTCTGTCTGCAGAGCCCCCGTTCTCCCTCTCATCCCTTCCCCTTTGTGTCCTCCAGGGACATCCCCAACCCTGTGCATTCAATTGTGCTCAGATTCTTTATATTGATATTGGCTCACATTACAGGCTTCCTGCATTTCCCTGTTATTTGGCTTCTGCACTAGCTGGAAAGAAATCTCTCTTGGATTTTGACTTGAAAACTAGAGGAGGCCGATCCTTATTCAAAGTCAGGAAGGATAGAGAGCACCACAACCATGCTTAAGTCAGAAAACAAATCAAGGGGGAAAGCTCCTAATGTTGTTAGATTGCAAGCAGAGCTCTGGACTGTAGTGGTGCTTTGCAGCACTCCCATGTGTGATCTAGTATTTCTAGTATTTGTATTTTCATATGAATGGCATGGCTAGATGGAGATGCCACAAACTGTACTATTTCTAGTTCCTTCTATTTTTTTTAATAATAAAAACAGAAGCATTTTTAACGTATTTGGTTCAGTGAAATACTTCTACCACAACACCAGTCAGATAATTTCTATTTGCAGCTTCTCTAGAAAATAATATCTTAAAAAAAAAAATCTTTCTATGAACTTGATTTTAGGTCTGTGAAAGGGCTTCATCTGAATTTTGTCTTCAACATTGCACATGGTTTGGGGACGTTTATCTCTGTGAT